TCTTGAGCTCTGAATCTCCTATTCCCACCACTCTCTGTTACCAAGAGAGTGTTGTAGCATTTTCTTGCCACTTCTTCACAAGTAACAATTGCAGGATTCACCCTTTTGTTTCCAAGTATTCAGTTCTAGTTCTAGTCCAGACCCTGGTGTTTTCCAATAGTCTTTAATAAAAAAATATTTTGTTTGTCCGTCATGCTTGGCCTCCCTGCCAACTCCACCTACTGTATCCGCTCCAGCTCATGTAGAATTCTGCAATTTAACTTGTCTTTTTTCTTCTTTGATTTTTTTTCCTGGTATTCCATTACCACCGTTTTTTTTCACAGCCTTCTTATTGCTGCACACATCCAATTAAAAACTCTAATGCTTGCCAATCATTCATTCAACCACTTTTCTCCTACCTATCTTTATTCTGTCAATTTCTCCCTACACTTTTCTGTATCCATTCTCTTCCACAGTCCTTTCATTTAATGCCCTCTAGCTTTTGGTGATAGAATAAACCACGCACAGAAATCAGAACTGCTCACTGACCACTTTTTAGCATCTGGTGAAGACTCATTTGTTTAGACACCTGTGATCTCTCAGGTCTCAGCTACAACCTCCAATACTTTGTACATTATATAGCACTGTTTTTCATTCTCCAACTGGTAACGTTACTAGTTAAATTGCTATTCTATATCCACACTTTCTCTATGCTGTTTTAGTTCTTGCTTATTCATTTTATTTGCATGACACTTGAGTCACACTTCCAGTTTGTGCTAGCATTGTCATTGAATGAATTTATTTATAGGTTATATTAATGACTAAGTAATTGATGTACATGCACTATTATTCTGATTAACATTTCTTGATTTATACTTAAATTATCATATTGTAAATCACCCTGGATAAGAGTGTCAACTAAGCAAATAAATAAACTGATGCATCAAAAAGGAATCAATGTTGCACACCCTCTCAGAAATAATATCATTATATCATAGTATCATAGCAACAAGACTGCATCATTGCCCACTCCTCAATTAGCATGTTTTCTGTTAGCCTCTATAGGAGTTTAACAGACCATTAGAACCACACTTCAACCATGATAATGCCACAGCACAAATTGTGTGACTCACAGAAGCATTCTAAGCACAGGGCAATTTTCAAACAGTGGACTAGGTCGCCTGTAGTTTAGCCCATACGTAAACCCCATCTGACATTTGTAGGAAAGGTTGCTAAAGGTTGACAGCAGTGTAGAACGGCAACTCACAAGGGATAAGCTATGTCAAGCAATGATGAACAGCTTCAGCTACAAGATATGGAACCTCTTTCTTTCTATGGATTGCCAGTGTGCAGCTGTCATGCTTAGTAATGGAAGTTCATTATCAGTCCTATTGTGTGGCTAGCTTCAGACAGTTTTTGTTTTCAATACAGTTTATGTCATATCGAGATTTTTAATTTCAAACATGAGTACACATTGTAATTAAAGCTGAAATAGTATACTTAATCACAGTAGGTAAAGTCTATACCAGAGCTGATCATTAGGCCAGACCTCATCCTGGTGGCTGTAGCATTAAGCACAATAGAGAACTTGTGACTTCAACCGTGGATGAGACACTGGCCCATCACAGAAATCACCCCTCAGCAATGCTCATGCTTACTAGTAGAGCTGGATGGATTGTAGTAGCCAGGATAAAGTACAGTACCTCCCTCAGAGTAAAACAAGTAGAGTCTGCATGAGTCCAATGGCTTAGCCACTATGCTACACTACCCAGTAATCCCAGCAGGCTAGAAAAAAATGACTAAGGTGTGATTTTAAACTTTATGCTGCAATTATACAGAAAAGGTATTCTTTGACAGAGTTAAAAAATTGTTTATTTTACCCTGCTTATAAAATACATAATCTGCTACCTATGGAACATTTGTAGTACAATAACTTCCAAAAAAATCCTTACTGACTTGATAGTACATGACTCATGCAAAACTTTCTTCCATCTTGCAGAAACGATTATTCTGCTGTGAATCACAGGTCGTATCTGTAAATGAAAATTATGAAAAGATTTTAAAATAGAGTATCCGACAATTCAAGTAAAGTTTTCCTATTATTCTTAAAAGTATACCTAAAATGATTACTCTTTTACATCTCTACAAGACTGGACAGCATTTAATTTTTAGATTGTTTCCTTCTCTTGCTAAGTTTTATCAAAAGTAACAATAATGTCTTTGGGAAGAATCTAAGATGAAGTTTTTTAGTGCAGGAAAATAATGGTACATCTTAAATATGGCAGTATTTTAGTGAGTATATTTTCTTTCAATGTCACTTTCACTTTATGATCTTAAACTTGAACAATGGTGGACTGATGCCAAAAGGAAGATAATGAAGGAGCTGCTTGTCTTCTTACAGTTGTGCTAAGGCTTTCGTTAAACTTCTTGTGAAAGATACCAGGATATCAGCTTTGACAACCTGAATGGGTAGCTTGGTACATCTTTCACAACACTATTTGTAAAGATGTGAATCTTGTTCTCAGTTTTAAACACAGTTCCCCTTAGTTTCATTTTGTCTTGTTCGTATTTCACTGTTGATTCTGATCAGAAATCCATAGTGTTTAATTGATTAATACCATATGAATTTTGAATAATTGAATCAGGTCCAAGTGAAGCCTTCTTAAGAATCAGGAAGCTCTGGATTATAGAGTTAGATTGTTTATCATCTCACAGTGGGCCTGTCTCAATGCAGCGCAACTACAGTATATACTGTACTTTTTATAATCTGGTGACCACAATTTAACACAATGTTCTAAATGACATCAAACAAATGTGTTGTACTATTTTAATGTAAGATCCTACAATTTAAAGTCTAAATTTTTAATTACACGTGTTGTTTTTCTTGAACTTTACTTTCTTACAAAAATCTAAAATGTTCTGTTATTTTATTTTAAGCAGGTTAATAATTTGTTTAGAAAATTTAATTCTTCTTTTCTTACAGTATGTACAATATTGCAATCGATATATGCCCTATATTATTTAAATGTCATAGCTTATATCAAGTGAAATGTAATTCCATGTCATCTAAATCAAAGATTTTATAAGGCATCACTCATTTTTAACTGGAAGAATGAATTTAAAGTGACAAGCAGCTTTGGAAGTATATTGCAGCTCTTGAGTCCAGTCCTTTCTTCTTTTTAGATTTTTTTTTTCAAACACACTGCAATAATGCAGGTACTGTATCTGCAAACATTTTCTTTTGCTCTTTTATTTTAAGCTATAAATGATATGACATCTGTAACTGATAAATAGATTCAACATACTAAAATAGCGCGATTGTTGACTCATGGACATTTTCGCCCATCTCAGCCATTGAGCTCTGTAGCTGTTTCAAAGTCAACATTCACCTCATGATGGAATCAGCAGCCAGTTTTATCCTTGCCCAGGTGCTCAGTTTTGAGGGACAGTCTGATGTCAGCAGTGTCTGGGTGGTTTGAAATCCAGCTTGAGCTCCTAATGACTTAATTGCATTGTTCATTGACTACAACCACCTTAACTAACCAGTACGTTTTTAGTCCTTGAGTGATTTGAATTTCCTATATGCAGTTTATAAATGGTATATATACAGTATTCCAGGTCCCTATGTAGATCAGGACCAGATCTGTAAATGCGGTAGACTAATAAAGGGAACATTATCAACTCATCAGCTGATGGTGGTGCTGTTGGACAATAAATGCCAAAGATGTTGCTAGTCCACATTATTAAGTGTTTGCAATAATATTCATATACAAATTATTAAGATGATTTTTAAGTTGTCACTTAATATTATAATGTATAGAATCCATACTAATTATGTATAATATAAATATAAGTATATAATATATACTTTTCACCGGTAGGGCAACTACTAATTTTCTGCAATAAATCTATTACTTGAGTAAATAATTCAATTGGACTTAGAATTAAATTTCTTATAGTCAGCAAATTAGCTGCAAAGCAATATCATTTTACAACCTTACCTTTAAAGGTGTAGGATGAAATAAATCATTAATATACAGATCTTCATAAATCATAAACGTAAATGAAAGTCAATTAAATTAAAATCATTTTCATCTATTTCTCAAAGTAATTAAATAATAAAAGTGCCTTTACTGAATGCATAAGAAGATATAAATAAACTGCACATAATTTCATAAAGAAAAGTGACTTGGTTAATAAAACCTAAGTTCAAGTTCAAGTTTATTTGTCATCCCAGCCATATACAGTACAAGTATACAGAGGAGCGAGATATCGTTCTCCAACTCTCCAGTTCATCTCCAGGTCTAGTGTTGATATTGCATTGAAGAACAAGTGACTATCTCTCACATTTGGGCCAAAATTAAATTGTTCTATATAGAGACCAAGATTAGGGGAAAAAAAGTCATTATTGAGTTAAATTGCAATGTTGTTGCCTTATATAGAAAACAAATGGGGCAACAGTGTTCTTATGTACTGTTCATGTGGCTTGTATATGCACTCAAAAACACTTAAAATTCAGGGCCTTTAATGCAGCGTGAAAAAATTACATTACATTAAATTGTTTACATTAAATGCAAGTATTCTACTATGCATGGGGAATTCAACTATTTAAGCTGGAAGACAAATGTCCAACATTTAATAATTTCACAGTGGGTACCACCTACAAAGATATCAGTTTGGGAATTTTAAAATTACTTGGCAGGCACATAATGTACATCTTTTCTTTTCATTAGTAGACAGGACCCCAAGCCAGCATAAGCATTTTTCTTGCTGGTGGACTTTTGCTATTTCATCAGGTACAGGTAAATTTATTTTGAATCCACAAACAAGAATCTGTCCTGGGCAAACATCAATGTTCCATTCTCTTTGCTATAGCTGAGGACGGATTCAATTAGTAAACACACTCTTGACCGCTATAATTTTCTCCATAGTGCCATTAAACTGTATTAAATTATGCCACTTTTCACTTCTGTATGAGTTACTGTATGCATACTGAGGAACTTGTTCATGATGAATACATAATGAGTAAGATCCACATTTTCGGATTATTTAAGCAATCAGTATGTAATCTGTATTCTATTATATTCTATTAATGTGTTATGTGATGCGTGTGTATCATCATTACAACCAAATAAGCAAAAACAGCTTTAGAAAAAAAAGTTAAATCTGACACAATGTGTCCAGATCCCAAATTAGTGTTTCACACTCACACATTAGACTATTCTGACTATGTCTCAAATCACACCTTACCTCCCATTCTCAACACATTTGTCACCTCAAAAATCTACTTTAGTACTGAAGTATAGGAAAATTAGTTTATGTGAAAGTATTGTATCCTATTATTTTGAAAACCAGTAAAGACTCTTCCCATCTAATCCATATCCTGCACATATTCACTTGCCAATATTTAATCAAAAGGGGCACATCCTTGTTGAAGAATCCTACAAAACATGTGTAACACATGTGGAAACTATATTTGAAATATTTTCTCTGTATAATTAAGTTTATTATATATTTGACAGTTAAATATATTCCTAAATATATTTTTATATTGTGGGGGATACTTCTTCGTCTGTGGTGATAAGTATATTTCATGCAGATTTTTTTAGAAGTATCTCTTTTTTACTTTGCTATGGTTTGAATTACTTTCCCTTTTTAATTCAACTAAACACAACTTAATCTGATGCTATCAATGTTCTAAGGATATTTTTTGTGCATGGTATTAACTGGGGAGGGGGGAGAAAAGGAAGATAGTTTCACATTTATACTTTATACATTTATATTTTTAACCCAAAGGATCCCAAACGTGTTTTAGCATAATACAGCTGGCACCTTTTGATGAACAGAGCACCTGGACGACATCCTACAGAAGCCCATCTCTTATCATGAGAACAAACTGCAGTCAAAGTTAACCTGCACCATGAGCATAGTAATGAGAAGTTTCTGATGTCAGTGTCACAACCCTTTACATCAGGCCTCTTCAAATGTTGTCTTAAAGCTCTGTACTGCATCACATTTTATAGGCCTCTATAAATTACTTCAAAGACTATTAAAGAAGGGTTAATGATTCAAATTAAGCATATAATGGCTTCACTAAGAGAATTAAAATTTCATGTGGAATGACCAATAAAAACTGTCTCTGAAGGACCAGAATATGAAAAAACGTGTTTTATAACCACTTCACATCCTTATAAGCTTACCAGTTCATTCTTCTTTCGCTGTGGTTTCTTTGTTGTTATGTGAAGATAGCTGCAAGAAAACAAAAGTATGTTAGACTGACTTGTAAGACTTTGGCATGGATAAACAGGAGCTGATTGTTGTTCTTCTTATGACTATAAATTATTATTTTTAAAATGAAAAACACATAAGCCACCTTGTGTTAGCAATTAGCAAGATAGCATATGTCAGCATCAGCCCACATAGCGACAGTTTACCAAACAAATGACCACATTCAGTGCAGTGGGTGTAACAAATTTCTTCAGAAGAGAAATACTCTTACAGACTGCAGTAAAAACCAGAGGATTTGATGTGAATGATCAAAATGGACAGGTAATGCATAGAAACATTCAGTACAGAACCATATTAATTTCAAATTAGAATGACTGTGATTTTGAAAGGAATGTCAGTACAAAGAAGAAACTGTAATTGACATTTATGGATGTTCATTTAGTATGATCTGGCAGAAAAAGGCTGAATAAGCTCTTCAGCAATCAAGTGAAGAGCAAGGGCTAGCAGGCGTCTGCTCTCCCACTGTACTTAACATACTTAATAGAATATTTGCAGGTCCTGCTAGATCTGATAAAACATGAGAGGAGCCCATAAACTATCAGACTGTGTATTGTAGCATTGTGCATCCCCGGTGTTAAACTGTCCTATGAACTTTCCCCTTTACCCTTAACTAGGCCCACTCTTTCTCTCCTATAAAGGGGGGGAGTCCCTACTCTCCATCCCTTGCTTTGTGTCTGTCTAGCAGTCTTTCATCTATATTTTATATCTTATATGCTATTCTAATGAACCAGTGTGTATGAACCTGAAAGCACCTGTTCCAGCATGTCTTCCTGCACTAGGTACTGTACTAAGTAACCAACAGAGTCGTCACAGTATGATATAAATTATAGATTTATACTTCCCTGTGATACAATTGAAGTGGAATTCAAACAGCATCGAAATACCCCCCATAGTGATTAAATTTAATGAAACTGAAAGACCAAGCGGAACAATAAGAATTGGGAAAAGTACAGTACATACACTTCGTCTTTACGTTCTTTTACACATTTTTTACCACTATGTGGTTTGAGAGGATACATAAAATGTTTCAGGAACAAAGCTTTATGAAAGAAAGGTAATTAAGAAATGTCATACACTACTACTATTCGAGGCTAAAGTCAGACTAAAGCAACTCGTTGAGCAGCTTTACGGAATGAGTCTAGCTCTATCCAAACTATTGCTGCATTACATGTTAAAGGTACACCTAAATCCATGATACAGTTGCTCTTTATGTTGCTGTTGCTGATGTGGTAGGTTAGTAATAGCTGTGAACTTTTCACAAATTAGGAAATCCGTTAATCCCATTCGAATCTGTAAATTGGACAGGATCGTGGATCTAAACATTTAGCGCGCACAACGTCTGGCACTGTCCGTGCTCAGTATTTACAAACACTTCACTCTGTTGGGTACTCACTCAAGCTTTTTAAATCGCTCTGCCCCGGCAGCTACGTATCTCTCTCCGTGCTGTAAATGCTCCAAATCCAAAATCCGGTGCCCATCCCGCGGAGTATACACGTTTCTCACAGCACCGAAAGGCGCCTCCACCCGCTGAGTTACTGAGCCCAGAAACGTGTCGAAAGTTGACATGTGCCTCTGGTTGATCACAAACTTCCTGCCGGGAAAGAAAGCATCCCCATTGCGGTACATCACGACGGTTTTTGTCGGCGGAGGCTGAGGGACTGAAGCTCTGCCTGAAATCCCGGACATCTTTCTCTGCCGTGACAATAACAGGTTTTAAATTCCGACCAATAGATTAGGTCAAGTAGCAAAAGTCATCAGATTAGCCTTGTGTAAAGTGAAACCCTGAAGTATCTGGCTAAGACACCAGCGCTCATTCGGGTGTGTGGCATCCTCTTATTCTCAGGTATCCATGACCAGACTTTTTATTTATCGAAGAGCAGTATTGTTTCTTGATCGGTGGCAGTTTCTCCGGGTAAAGTACCACAGAAGCATTGTTTGATGTGTTTCCATGGTAACCATCTGCTGCATGGACCAGCCTTCTAAATTAATTAACTGACATACATGTAACACACACACTGCACCCACCATACAAACTCACCGTTTCAAACGCATTCACTCTAAAGGCAGGTGTGTGGTGTAGAGAAACCAGGAAAAAAACTACGCTATAGGTACCTTACGCTTACTCGGAGCTCTTCTTCTTGTTAAGTTTTTTTATCATTTTCCTAGTTAAATCGATACGCACATGCATTTTCTTAGATATTGTAATAAAAAGTGAAATAATTTCCAAAAGTTTCACAACATTGTGCAATTGTGCAGTTATTTTTTTAAAAGAAGTTTCTCAACAAAATGAATTTGCAGTAATACAGAATTACATTTGTAAACAGTAATATGTTTCATAGGTTAGGTAAACGTTAACGATATTTGAATAAAAGAAAAATTACAAATCACCACGTCCTGGTAGACTACAATATGTGATGGAACAAGTAATAGAGGTATTCCATGCTGAGAAAAAGAAGAAAGAAAACACAACGTTTCAGCCGTGGAGCCTTCTTCTGGGGCTCCATGGCCGAAACGTTGGTTTCTTTCTTCTTTTTTTCAACATGGAATAAACCTATTACTTGTTCCTTTGCAGCCTACGCATGCTGAGGCAGCTACGCACCTGAACTACTACAATATGTGATGCCCGTCATCTGCATGTGGCATTAGTGACACCCAGTTTCTTGACACATTCTGAGGGTCCAGAAATACAACGCCTCGCAAACACACCAACACCTTGCTTGGTGTTGACAGAGTGTCAGATAACGCTTTGGATTTAAAACAAAAAATGTCAATTTTATCATGTCATACCACAAAACACTTTTCTCATGTTTGAAACATCACTTAGGTGCTTTGTTGCAAAATCTTATATGGGATTTGTAATGGTCTTTTTTTATCAGTTCCAAGCATCAATTTCCAATTTCCTCCATCCCTGGCTGCTCAGTCTGGGCAGTAGTGTCTGGGTACATTCCACTTTTCCTATGATCAGTTTCACCTTACTCAAGGAGATATTATTGAAATAATAAAACTCCTGTTTCTTGGAACAGCTTCTTGGTCTTAACAGTTGAAACTTTGCTTGAAACTCTATACCTGACTGAAGAATCTCATAGGAACAGGTGTATTTATTCTGAAATCATGTGAACCACCATTATTATACCGTACACAGTCAGAGGCCACTCAACTAATATTGTGACTCATTAAGGTATGTTTGTACACCAATGGTAAATTTAGGTTTGCCACAACAACAGGGTTTGAAAACTTAAATAATCATGACTTTTCAATTTTTCTTTCATGTTAATTATTTACTTATTTCATTTTGTTTTTATCTTTGAATATGTGAAGTAGGTTATGCATATAAAAAATACATATTCCTGTCTATCAGTACCATCATACCTCACCTTCCAGGCATAGATGTGTTTATCCTATGACAAGGTTGGGACACTGTGTAAATCCATAAAAAGTTTGAAAATGCTCACTTATTGTTCACTTGTTAAATTATGCAAGAAAATGGAAAATAAGCACATCTTTAGGAATAAGTGTGACTTTCTGTATGTATTTGACTACCACCAAGAGGTAAACTGATAACTGTTTTGTATTCATTCTTTACACATCTTATGTTTAGCCTTGATGCTCTGAGCTTCTCTTCTAAAGTAATAGGATAATTATATCTTACAAAGACCACATGGTTATTTAAGCTTGTATAATATCTGATCTATGGAATGCATAATTTATTGATGCATTAATTATTAAAGCCTTTTGGGACCTTTCATATTGTGCCTTATTTAACTCTTTAATTGCCCCTCATGGAAATATAATTTAGTAATAATTTAGAAATATAATTCTGAGAGTTTACACTTGACTGCACAAGAAGTGAGAAAATGAGGACTTCATATTTTCATGTACACAATGAAAGCAACTTGAATATATCTCAGCTCAGTTGAACAGACATATAGTTAAGGGAACCTGTAGCCGAAGGCTCCAATTCAGCTCCTAATGTTCCTTCCAACACTAAAAAGTGTATGCTACTGCCTTTTAAGATTATTTACCAGTGCACCAATATCACTTGATGCAGCAACCTGATTTTCCTAGAGCTCTCCCTTTCCAGTACTGACCAGAACAAACCTTGGTTTGCAAGTAAGATCTTATTAAATAAGGCTATGCAGTGATAATGAAAATGTCACTAGGTGGTAACGATGCCTTTCTTACCTAAATATATTCATTTGTTAGGCATCACACCCAGACAAGCTTTTGGTATTCAACATTTCTAAGGTTATTTAATTCTCCTGAGAATCTCATCCTACAGTATCATCCTATAGCATTTCAAAATCATTGAAAAAAGTGGCAAGACTAGCACATGGAATTAATTTCTTCTTTTATTCTAATGCTATGAACATTAAAAAGATCACACTCTACACCTATGAATTGTTCTTGTATAACAATTACATTAATTGTTAACATAAAGAAAATAACATGTTAACATAATTTTACAGAATTGGCATTGGACAATTAAATGTTATAGAATTAGCCATTGAACTGTTTTAGGAAGAAGGGGCTGATTTCAGGAACATACTCTAAGTCCTTCACCTAAGTACAAACTGAGAAACAATTTTGTTTTCTTTTTATATAACAGTCACTGTAAAAACTCATGCTTTGTCAGTAACTTAATCAAGGCATTGTGTTTATTTTATATTTTTATTTGTACTTTATTTTCATGTTGTACTTCATGAAACATGTTTAAAAAGTAAAACAGCTATTTTGTGTCTTTTCTTAATGTGTATTATGCATGTCAAAATAAAAAAAAACTGGTTTACAAAGCACTTTAAAATCATATCAACTGGTATTGCATGAATATTACAGATCTGTTTTTTTATTATTTGCATTTTTTTGCATTGTACAAGCATTATAAGTATATCATTATCATCTTCTGAGTATAACTAATTTTAATGAATCTCCATCATAATGGGGAACGTACGATCTCTTGCCAACAAGATGGAGGAGCTAGCGGCACTGACGAGGAGCCAGTGGGAATATCGTGAGTCCTCTATTATGTGCTTCACAGAGACTTGGTTGAATGAACTGGTTCCCGAC